TTTAATAAATTTTTTTGGGAGTTTTAAAATTAAGTTCGAATGCCAAAACATGCTCATTGCCTCTCTACCGCCCAAAACATGCCCACCACCCCTCAGCATCCTCCCACCGCCCCCCGGGGGATGGTACCGCCTCCGTTGAGAACCAATGATCTAGATGACTGTTAACTGAGAAGGTACATGGAATGTGTCTCACATGTAACCTGCATTTACATAATCACCTGAATCCCCCCCCCCATTTAAATGCTACATTGGTCTAGCCACTCTATTCATCTAGCTGTAGCTTATATCTTTTAATAAATTTTGTTAGTCAGAAAACATGCTACCAAACTCTTTTTACCACCAGAGACTAATAGAGCTCTCTTCCTACAATGTATAAGACAAGGAACATGAAGGTAATCACTCAAAAGGTAAACCACCAAGTAGCTAAGATCTATAGAAAAAAACACAAAAAAGCTGAAGTGTGAAGGAAAGAAGGTACTCAAGAGAATAGAAAGCAAATGAAAAGAATGGGTTTATCAAGAATAAATAATGCAGACTAACCTGATCTCCTTTTTGACTGATTAGTCAGCCCATGAGAATGATGTAGACACAGCACATCTCGATTCAACACAGCTTTGAAAAAGACAGGATAGGAAAGAAATAGGAAAGGGACCAGGAATATAGGATGCAAGGGAAGAGAGTGGGCAGCAGTACATATGAATAGGATCTGAGGGTCCTGATGGATCACAAGCTGGACATCAGCTTACAATGTGCAGCAGCTGCAAAAAAGCCTACGTGTGTCAGACCACAAGTACAATAGCGTGGGCTAGCCATCACCTTTAAGGAAGGGACTTGACAAACTGGAGTGTTACCAGAGGACAGCAGCCAAGATGGTAAGGGACCTTATGAGAAAAGTTTGGAAGCCTTTGGTTAAGCTGGAGAAGAGATGACTGCAGGGAGACATGAGAGCTGCTTCAAGTATCTGAAAAGTTGCCAGGCAGAAAACAGGGCAGAAGGGCTCAGGGTGGTCCCAGAAGGCAGACCACAAAACAAGGGGCTGAAATGACACGGAAGGGGTTTTGCTGGGATATCAGTAAACATTTCCTAAAAGTAAAACTTATTCAGCATCAGCACAGAGTGCTTTGGGATGAGGTGGACTGTCCTTTGTGGGAACGGTTGAAATGGGGGCTGGGAGGCCATCTGTTGGGGATGCTGTAGTAGTAGACTCCAGCACAGGACAGGAGGCTGGACTGGATGATCTCCCGTGTCTCCTCCAATTTTTACGTTCTGTGATTCTATAAACTATAGGGAAAAGGAAAGTACTTATTTCCATGTCTTTTTCAAGAGAAAGCTCCACCCAGATAGTTGCAGAAGCAGGAAGCTGAAATTCTTAAGTGTCAATGACATTCCAGAACTGGATGACCATCTCGGTTCAGTTCGACTTCCAGATGGCAAGAAACCCTTGCTGTTGTTTCCGTGCTCCCCACCTTGCTCTCACACACAAAACAAGTCAACAACAATGAACACTGGTATTAGGACCAGGCTGGAATCTGAAAGGGGTGGCAGGAGGTTCTGCTGTACCATCAGTCAGGCATTAAGAGGAAAGCAACACATCTCTTCAGATGCAAACTCAGAGGAAACAGAGCACTCAACGTGGATACAAACCACAGGCATAGCAAGCCAAGCTATTTCCTCGACCTGGAGCCAACACTTTCAAGCAAGGCTCAGCTGAAGACAACTGGCAGGTTTCCCTGCCACGTTAGAGCTGCCCTGCACTTCAGCAAAATGGCTCCAAGAACAGCACCTGGCTCTTTTTGCTCATCGACAGTGCCACCTTTCATATCTCACCAAGCTCCACTCAGGTATGATTCTGGAGGAGCTGAGAGCTCACATCAAAAGGGGATGTATATAAGAAGCGGAGTATTGGATGCAGACGTTCTGTCAGCAGGGTGAGGGGATGAACAGATCAGCTGGCAAGTGGGCAAACCAGCAGTCTGGCTGAGGCAGGCAGAAGAATCAGCTGGCTGGGGATCATGCTGCATGCACGCACGCACGCACGCACGGGGCTGGTGCTGGAAGAACATGAAATCTCTGTATGTCATGCGGGTTCAGGAAGAAGCAAGCGCAAAAAGCAACTGTTT